ACATGGGATTACAGCTTAAGTCTATGGCTATATTTTAACATAAAGCTAATGTTGATTCTATGACATAGGTTTAACATGGGATATATAAACAATGTTATTACCATGAAAACAATTGTTAACCTATAGGCAATGTTATCACTATGGAAATTATGTTAATATTATAGATTATGCTAAGTCTATGGCAGGTCTACAGGACTGATGTTAAATCTGTATATAATTTTATTCTATTCTTTTAGGGGTACCCGAGTTGTGGTAAACCTATGTTACCTTGTTATAATTAAAAATAATATTATAAATATCAATACTTATTATGTGTTACGTGTATTTTAAACAAATCTCTCATGATAGTTCCAGTAAAATACAAATGCATGTCAAACTCGGTAGTATTTGTTGCAAATAATTCAATATCATCATCAATATCATCAAGTCCCAAATGATCAAAATCATAATATAATTTCATATATGTATCGCTCATTATATTATCATTCATTATAAATATATGTTCGGTACTGAATGTTAGATTTTTTTCATTTATATCTTGATCAATCAATTGTTTAATACAATATATTAATTGTCGCGACAATTGTATTGAAATGAGAAAATGGATTGAAATGATTGCCAACGAGTGATGGGTTTGTGTACCAAATATCACGTGTTTTGTCACATTTATGACATCCCATAGAGTTTGCGAACAATACTCCGATTGAATGTAAATCTCGTTGTTATCGATCCATGAGTTATAGATTTGAAGCAAATGTTGAGGTTTTAATGCAAATATTTTATTAATTTCTATTATAACTTGTTTTCTGTTGTTGTAGTCTAGAAATGATAAATATTTATAATATAATACAAATGTAAGTATACTATACTTTTGTATAAAAACTTACCATATTGTTGGTGCGATTTATTAATATAATAAAATTTGTTGTTTTTATTATTCCATACTTTTACCACCTTTTTATGATGTATTGATTGATTCGTTTGAACAAGGTGATTCTTTAAATATCTGATAGTGTCAACAATATCTGTAATAATAAATCAGTATTTTTCTATAATGCAAATGATCCAAAATTAAAAAACAACTTTTAAGTTACCATTGTTTTCATCACATGTCTGACAGATAACATAGAATTCATGGCATTCACAAAAATAATGGAAAAATAGTGTGAATTTATTTTCAAATATTGTATTGAATAATGAATTGTTTTTCTTGACAATCGGTTCAATCGATAAATCATTTAATTTGTCTAATATTTCTGGACATTCGGGTCTTAGTCTCCAATCAGTCTTTCCATAACTCTCTGTATATATACTAACACTCATTGTAAGCAATAAACGGTATATTTCGGACAATTTATTCGCAAGATTTAAATCATGATAGTTTTCTAAATTGAAATTTTGTCTAAAAAATACAATTATATATTTATATATAATATTTATTAATTAATAATAACATACATTCCGTCTCTGATATCGTTTGAACCAAAACCAAATATTTTCGCTCCAATGAGTGCCATACTATAGACATCTATTAAATGGTTGTATTCAGTGGTCTGTCCTTCGGGTGCCATATAATGTACGACATCTGCGGTGTGTTTAACACTACTTTGTTTGTATCGATCACTCAATACATGCACTTCTTTAGACAAACCGAAGTCACATAACTTTATATACATTTGCTTTTTTCTATCATAGATATCACAATTGTTTGTAATCAACACATTATCGGGTTTGAGGTCTCTGTGAATGATATGATTTGTATGCAAATACTCCACACTTTCCACCAATTGTTTGAATATTTCATATGATATATAATAATCAAATTCAGTAATTATTGTTTTCCCAAATAAGTGCCTCTTATTTATTAACAGCTCTTTTAGACTTCCGACCAAACAATCCATAAGAATATATAACGAGTTGTATTGAATCCACGAATAATGGTATTGAATGATATATTTTGATCTCAATTTTATCATATTTTGTGTCTCTCTTATTAGATTTTGCTTATGTTTATCTGTCAAACCTTAATAGAAAATATTTTATAATTTTAATAATTATTTTAGACAAGAATATAGTTTCCTTTTTATGAGGGGTTTCCAAAAAATTTGACACATTTTATTTGGCGATTACTCTGGAACTACTAAATTGATGATTAAAATTGAGTGCACACATACATAGTTAAAATTAATTTAATACCATTTTGACATCTCCTCTATCCAACCATAACCCCCACCCCTCCCTTTAATAAACACAGTAGGCTGTGACCAAATTAATTTTCAAAATTGCCCATGTTTTCAAAAAATAGTCACGTGATAGAAAATATGTCATAAAATTGCCCGACATAGATCTATGTATGTGTGAAATTACACTATTATCACTTTAACCTTTCCATTGTAATTGTCAAATAAAGTTTGTCAATTTTTTTTGAAACCCCCTTATAGATAAATACCTTCAATATCTAAAAAGCATTTTTTAAGCGCATAATTATCGCCATTGCGTTTATCCCTCACTTCAAACACTTGGCCAAAACCGCCGGACCCTAACGTTTTCAATACATCATACATTTCTATGTTATTAGTTACTGTAAAAATTTATTATAAAAATAGTTTAATCATGATTATTATATATAAAGTTATATATTAATTAATTTAACATACCATTATGCTGTATTGTGTTTAATGTTTGAGCACTAGCATTATAATTAGTAATATCAATGGTTTTATGAATTAATTTAGTGCTATTTATAAAGTACTCATCAAATGTTTTATATAATGTCTCAATAAATAAATTGAGTTCTTTATTATATTCATACACTCTATGGCCGCTAATTCCTATAATATTATTATAAGCGCATAATTGAGCGAGATCAGTAAACAACAAGTTATTAATTGCGACCATTTTGCCATCATTCAAATCATAGTTATAAACGTGTTGATCATTTAATAACATAATTAAATATGTGATTAAAGATTTACCATTTAAATTCCTTACCGTATGTATAATACATACAGTTTTAACATTATTAACATTTGTCAGCAATAATGTTGGTTCAATTGATGACAATGTACCATTTTCTCTATACTCGCCCCACATAAACACCACACCATTGTGTGTAACGGCAAATGAGTTTATATAAGTGCACACAATGTCTGCAATTTTATATCCATCGGGAAATTGTATTTCAATTGGTTTATGTGTTTTTATTAACTTATATTTCCAATGATATACCCGTCCATCACATGTCAGGGCAATCACTGCTCCCCAATCGTATGATACTTTGGCAACGTATACGTCACGTGATGCGCATAATAATAGTTTTTGTGGTTTATTATAATCTGTGTCGTAAACTGCCTTGTTACACTTACGACCCCAATGAAACAACTGGCGATCCCTATTCAATGCTAACCCATAGGTTCTTTCAATGTAAAATTGTTGAATATTCTGGTGACTTAATTGTGGCACTTCTTCGGGCGTATGTACGGGTCGTTTGTGTCCCAACCCCAGCACTCCTCCATTATTGCTGCCCAACCCATAGACCAGATCACCGGTTGTCACAAATAATATGTTTATCGTGTTTTCACCTTGTTGTTTAAAAATGTGAAATAATTTAATCTCTTTTCTCAAATTGTCGGGAATTTTGGCACAAATTTCAAACTTATTTAAAATATCAGACATTATTATTAAGACGTTATAATTATTACACAATAAAAAATATATAATTAATTTATTAATTTAAATTTTTAATAAATTATTATAATGGTAATAATTTAATATTAATATAATAATGAATTATATGGGTTTGGTTGTTAGAGACGACACATAAAAACACATGATAATCGCTATATATTTTATAAAAACATTAAAATATATGCTATCAATTTTATTAATAAATATATTGTAATTATTATTTATAAAAACATGGTGAACCATCACTAAATTTCATAATTAATACCTCGTTGATCTGATAATAATCACCCACAACAGCTTTATTAGCACATTTTAACGATGGTTAAAACTGGTTATACAGTATCTCAAAAGGACTTACTTTTCTAACATAAATAATAAATTATTATTTCTAAAATAGTTTACAGAAATAATAAACATATTTAAGATTTTCATATAATCAAGCATATTTCTTTAATAATAAGCACTCACTGACTACAAGCCATATATTTTACATATAGATGAGACGTATAAATGAGTGTTTATTACTGTAGCCATTATTATTGTGTCTAAAATATCTGCTAATCAAAACATTGTATAATTTATGTCAAGGACTTTTACGTATGTATTGCATCTTTAAATTATTACTCACAGTATTTTAGAAATGTAACGTATTTTAATGTAATGTATTTAATGTAATGTATTTTAGAAACGTTTATAATTATATAATCAATGTATGAATATAATATGCAACTTAAAAATTAAAATTATATTGAGCAAACTACTTATTTATTTAATTATTCTGTAGAGTTGACCATCAGCACGAAACATTAAATAAATATTTTATTAGATATTGTTGTATAGAGTAAGTGAGTGAGTGGTGAGTGAGTGAGTGGTGAGTGAGTGAGTGAGTGGGTGAGTGAGTGAGTGGTGAGTGAGTGAGACTCACTCACTCACCACTCACTCACTCACTCACCACTCACTCACTCACTCACCACTCACTCACTCACCACTCACTCACTCACTCTATACAACAATATCTAATAAAATATTTATTTAATGTTTCGTGCTGATGGTCAACTCTACAGAATAATTAAATAAATAAGTAGTTTGCTCAATATAATTTTAATTTTTAAGTTGCATATTATATTCATTATTTGATTATATAATTATAAACGTTTCTAAAATACATTACATTAAATACATTACATTACATTAAAATACGTTACATTTCTAAAATACTGTGAGTAATAATTTAAAGATGCAATACATACGTAAAAGTCCTTGACATAAATTATACAATGTTCTGATTAGCAGATATTTTAGACACAATAATAATGGCTACAGTAATAAACACTCATTTATACGTCTCATCTATGTGTAAAATATATGGCTTGTAGTCAGTGAGTGCTTATTATTAAAGAAATATGCTTGATTATATGAAAATCTTAAATATGTTGATTATTTCTGTAAACTATTTTAGAAATAATAATTTATTATTCATGTTAGAAAAGTAAGTCCTTTTGAGATACTGTATAACCAGTTTTAAACCTCTTTAAAATGTGCTAATAAAGCTGTTGTGGGTGATTATTATAAGATCAACGAGGTATTAATTATGAAATTTAGTGATGGTTCACCATGTTATTATAAATAATAATTACAATATATTTATTAATAAAATTGATAGCATATATTTTAATGTTTTATAAAATATATAGCGATTATCATGTGTTTTTATGTGTCGTCTCTAACAACCAAACCCATATAATTCATTATTATATTAATATTAAATTATTACCATTATAATAATTTATTAAAAATTTTAATTAATAAATTAATTATATATTTTTTATTGTGTAATAATTATAACGTTTTAATAATAATGTCTGATATTTTAAATAAGTTTGAAATTTGTGCCAAAATTCCCGACAATTTGAGAAAAGAGATTAAATCATTTCACATTTTTAAACAACAAGGTGAAAACACGACAAACATATTATTTGTGACAACCGGTGATCTGGTCTATGGGTTGGGCAGCAATAATGGAGGAGTGCTGGGGTTGGGACACAAACGACCCATACATACGCCCGAAGAAGTGCCACAATTAAGTCACCAGAATATTCAACAATTTTACATTGAAAGAACCTATGGGTTAGCATTGAATAGGGATCGCCAGTTGTTTCATTGGGGTCGTAAATGTAACAAGGCAGTTTACAACACAGATTATAATAAACCACAAAAACTATTATTATGCGCATCACGTGACGTATGCGTTGCCAAAGTATCCTATGATTGGGGAGCAGTGATTGCCCTGACATGTGATGGCCGGGTATATCATTGGAAATATAAGTTAATAAAAACACATAAACCAATTGAAATACAATTTCCCGATGGATATAAAATTGCAGACATTGTGTGCACTTATATAAACTCATTTGCCGTTACACACAATGGACAGGTGTTTATGTGGGGCGAGTATAGAGAAAATGGTACATTGTCACCAATTAAACCAACATTATTGCCAAATGTTAATAATGTTAAAACTGTATGTATTATGCATACGGTAAGGAATTTAAAGGGTAAATCTTTAATCACATATTTAATTGTGTTATTAAATGATCAACACGTTTATAAATATGATTTGAGTGATGGCAACATGGTCGCAATTAATAACTTGTTGTTTACTGATCTCGCTCAATTATGCGCTTATAATAATATTATAGGAATTAGCGGCCATAGAGTGTATGAATATAATGAAGAACTCAATGTATTTATTGAGACCTTATATAAAACATTTGATGAGTACTTTATAAATAGCACTAAATTAATCCATAAAACCATTGATATTACTAATTATAATACTAGTGCTCAAACATTAAACACAATACAGCATAATGGTATGTTAAATTAATTAATATATATATATATAATAATCATGATTAAACTACTTTTATAATAAATTTTTACAGTAACTAATAACATAGAAATGTATGATGTATTGAAAACGTTAGGGTCCGGCGGTTTTGGCCAAGTGTTTGAAGTGAGGGATAAACGCAATGGAAATAATTATGCACTTAAAAAATGTTTTTTAAATATTGAAGGTATTTATCTATAATTTATCTATTATTTTACAAATATACTAACCCGTACCGGACCAGGCAATTTTTAATAACGAGATTCTTGTCTAAATTAATTATTAAAATTATAAAATATTTTCTACTAAGGTTTGACAGACAAACATAAGCAAAATCTAATGAGAGAGACACAAAATATGATAAAATTGCGCTCAAAATATATCATTCAATACCATTATTCGTGGATTCAATACAACTCGTTATATATTCTTATGGATTGTTTGGTCGGAAGTCTAAAAGAGCTGTTAATAAATAAGAGGCACTTATTTGGGAAAACAAAAACCGTACTTTTCTTTAAATGACTACATGCGAACAAGTGCGAACTTAGGGGGGAGGGGGGGTCTAGATTTCTTAAAAAGTGCGAACGTACTTTGTGAATCACCCCTAAGGGGTAGGAGGAAATGAGTAACAGATTTTGTGGACTGGAATAATGGCTAGTAATTAACTAGTTAAGCAGTTTAGCCCAAAATTTAAATCAACAATTTTAAATCATGTCTTATTTAAACATTTATGTAAAACTAATTTTATTTATTTTTAGACACATATAATGATGAGAAAAAACAACAAATATTAAGCGAGGTGGACAAATTGAAAAAACTGCGCTCAAATTATGTCGTAACTTATATCTTCTCGTGGTTGGAAGACAATCATCTGTACATTCAAATGGATTATTACAATCAAAATCTACAGACGATTATAGACAACAAACCCGATGTATTCGGAAGACAATCGGAAGAAGTGTTGAATGTCTTTGAATATTACATTTCGTGTGAAATATTCAAAGAACTCTTAGAATGTGTTCAATATCTGCACGAATCGAGACCACCGGTCATTCATCGGGATCTCAAACCCGCAAATGTATTGATTTCAAAAAATATTGACAGAAGTAATCGTTTCATAAAACTTTGTGACTTCGGTTCCGCCACTTTTCACGACATGACAATCACATCCATGAATCACACCTCTAATATTGTAACTCGACAATATATGGCACCAGAAATATTTCAACCCCGATATACAATTAAAGTAGACATCTATAGTATGGCAATGATTGCCCGGCATTTGTTTGATTTATTCAATATGTAAGTCAATGGCAATCACTTTATTATACTTTTAAATATAAAGCAACCACTTTATATTTATGTTATTTATGTAATTCATACTTTTTATTAAATTTTACAACTTTTTTAGTTATGATCAAAGAGAAGAATATAATTTAACGATATTTTCAGTAAATATTATTAACTTATATGAAATAATTGACCAAATGCTACAACCGATGGCCAACAAACGACCATTAAGTGGTCAAATACTCAATGATTATAAGCAATGGTCAGTTGATAAGCAAATAATTACTTCAAATAAACAGAAGTTGAATGAAAGTATAAATACACTAAAATATAAGGATAACACTTTTTTCTACGAGTTTATAATTTGTAAATTAAATATCTTGAGAAATAAATCAGGAGAAAGCATGAACTCAAACAATCACAACTCGGTAAGCAATGATTAACATTAATTGATATTTAAATTACTCAAATTTTATCAAGTTTGAGCATAAATTCGTAATTTCTATTAATTTGCATATAATTCATATCAATAAAAATACTAAAATTTTTCCATTTATTAAGCATAATGGTAAGGATAATTCGAGGACAGCTAATCATGTTCAATCGATTATTAATAATATTAATAATAATAGTAATAATAATAATAATATTATTAATATTAATAATAATGAAAACGTGCAAATAGGGACGATGATAAATCAGTCAACGAATGTTGAATCATCATTTAATATAAAATTGGAAAAAAATTCTAGCGTCGATACTCCCGAAACTGTTATGTCGTCTCATAATCGGTGGACAGAAAACAAATATTCAAAAGAATTTATCGCTAATTATCGCTTAAATGCCAATAAAACAAATGAAGTGAACAAACCTGTGGTCATTGGAAAAAGTATTAATATTTTAAAAAAGACTTTTGAGAATATGGGCCGAAATGAGGGAACGGAAGGGGAAGTGAGTGTCGGAGAGGAGGGAAACACACCTCAGGAGAGACACAAACGGGAAGAGAGAAACCAAAGCCATGTTTCAATTGGTGTTACTTTAGGTCAGAAATCACGTGATATTGAAAGCGATAGAACGGATCAATTGTCGACACGAGTGATGAGTAGTTCGGCCGCCGGTGGAGACAAACCCACAGTTTCTAAAAGAAATGCCAGTAAATTGAGGGAAAAGTTTGAAAGTATGGCCCAAAACGAGGAAATGGTTGTTAAACGCAGAGCCGATGAGGAGAGGGACAGACGTCTGGAGCGCGAGAAACACGAGATGAAGGCCGTAAAAGAGGGACAACAAGTGGTGACTAAAGCGGCGGTTAATCCCGAGTCCGACGCAGAGAAACAAAACCCGGATTTCGGGAAAACTGCGAAACCGAGTAATAATAGCGCTTCGCCGACAGGACTGACCGCTACTGCTTTGTATGACTACAAAGCGGCCGATTTCGATGAGATTAGTTTCGATATAAATGAGTTGATCACTGATATAGAGATGATCGACGAGGGCTGGTGTCGGGGCCGGTGTGGCGGCGAAGTGGGTCTCTTTCCCACCAGTTATGTGCGATTTAATCAAATGCCTAAATCAGAAATCACTGACAAAGCGAATGATATAGAGATCGCATCGATTGGTGGCAATAGTCTAGCAATTGATCCCAAATATAAGTCTATCGATAATAAAGTAGACATTAATTGTATTCAATTATTTCACGTTTTTGATGATGAGAAGGGGTTTAATGTATTGTTTGTGACAAATGATGGTATGGTTTACGGCATGGGATCTAATTATTACGGATCACTTGGTTTGGGACACGATATGGCTGTCAATACACCACATATTATACCTGAATTATGTCATAAAAATATACGACAATTTATTTGTGGTTATAATTTTGTTTTATCCATTAATACCAACAACTCTATACACGTTTGGGGCCGTAATAGGTGGGCACAGTTAGCCCAACCACCGACTGATGATTACTTAAAATCAGTCGTCATTTCATTACCTAATAATCCTGTTATCTGTGATATTAGTTGTGGTTTTTTTCACTCACTTGTGGTCACCGGTGATGACTGTGTCTACGGATGGGGTTATAATAATGAGGGACAGACGGGTTGTGGGCTACAGCACTCGACTGTAATAATAACTCCAATGAAAATACAATTCATAAACAAAGGAATTAATTATAAAATACGTGGCGTTTATTGTTATCCTTATTCCTCGTTTGCCGTCACAACTGATGGCCAAGTCTTCAGATGGGGTCGAAATAACTGCCATTTGGGACACAATATAACGGATAATGTATTCAAACCACAAATGATTGACAATTTGTTTAACATTCAAACGGTTTGTTCGAATGAAATGCAAACATATTTCCTAACGAACGAGGGATTTGTGTATTTTTGTGGCCAATATTACAACGATAATAACGAACATTCAATACATAAATCAGTGGTCTTTAATAATAAAAGAGTGAGCATGCACACTTTATATGCTCTCATGTCATATCAAAAGTGGTCTTTTCGTTTAATCTGTAAATCGAGTGATAATAAAATATATGAAATTAAGGATTCACTTAAATTGTGTGAAACTGATTACACGAATGCTTTTGATTACTATTTAAATAAAATGCAAATGACTTATAAAACAATACATTTATGCGATTATAAAGACTATAATTACAAAACATTTGAACAATTTAAAGACAAATGCGAACATTTTATAAACAAAATTGTTGTTAAAATAAATAAAAAATAAATTGTACTATATTTTGTGAGATTATAAAGTCTAAAATTAATAAATTTTATGTAAATTTTTATATAAACAAAACAAACAATAAATAAAATAATAAAACACTATTTACGATGATTTGAAGTGTTTTCAAAGTTTTAACTTGTTTTATTAGAATTTAATCATCACAAAAATTACACAAAATTAAATTAAAAGCTATTTAAAAATAGGCAATGGATTAGACGACAGAAATTATTAATATTTATTGTTTGAAATTATGTGACTTTGGTTTGAGTCATGTCTTTAAGAGTCTGTCAGACAATAGAAATCCCGAATATTTATCGCCTGAAGAAACTGACGGACAAACTGTTGATTACAAGACAGATGTTTGCAGTGCGGCCAAAATCGGGGAAATTATTTTTAATATAATTTATACAAAAATAAATTTTAATATTAACTTAATATAAATTGACTGTAAATATGATTATAATAATTATATGTTTATAACAATAATTATTATTTCTTTTAAATAATTAAACATTAAAAACAGCAATAAAATACTATATGATAAATCTTAAATTTTACAATCAATATATTTTGTCTAAGATTTACATTTACATTATTTACTTTGCATAAACTTTTTAAATTCTATTTTCATATAAACAAATAGTTAAATAAATTAAATATAACTTATAATTACAAATTAGTTTTGATAAAATTATAAGTAATATTATATCTAATATTAGTCTTACGTCTGCAGTACACAATATATAAATATTTAATATTACAGAATATTCATGAATCATGAATATAATTGACAAAATTTCTATTTTCTATACCACGTTGTGTTAAATTATTTGTTTTATAAATATGAAATATAAAATATGATAATGTAAGTTTTGTTTGCTTGTCAGTTTAGTGTAGTTATTAAAATGATTATGATGATTATTAATGTTATTTATTACTGGTACTATATATTATTATATTTGTCAATAAAAACATAACAATGTATTTACCGATCAAACCAACATGGACAACAATATAATAATAATTGTTATTTTTAACACTTATAACAAAATATATAAATGTCATTATTTAACGCTATATATAAAGTATAAATTAAGTTACAAATATTAAAAAATAACCGAGATTTTGGCCAAAAAATTACTTGTGTTTATTAATTACGTTGTTTATTAAACTAGTTGTTTGTGTATTATTGATAAAAAACACAGTTATAATTAACTTAATGTTGACAAAATTATATTATAATATACATTATTATAGTTTAAAATATTTTATTTTATTGTCTTGAAATAAGTCCCTATTGTCATGATATTTACGTTTTTGTTATCCCTTGTACTCTCTCTCTCTCTCTC